TGCACATTTACCTAGAACCAAGTGGGCTACCTGTGTATCCCACATTTCTCTTCGTAACTCACGCCCGGTTTGTTGCCATGCTCTTCGCTCACAGTCTAGAATTTATTACCTAGAAAAGCCATCAACCCTACCGAGACTAAGCTATTCGTTAAGCACACACGAACCGCGAAATGCGTGTAATTATCGTCGCGGAAAATTCAACTCATGATCCATAGATCTTAATTGCGCTTGAAAATAACAGAAGCACATACACATTTATTATATATATATATATATATATATATATATATAAACGCACATCTCCCTCTCCCGATCTCTCGTTAATCTTGAGAGAGCTTTGACTCGAGACGATAAAACGCACCTCTTATGTTTACTTTTTAGCCTTGCAAGTTTCACACGAGCTGCTTGCTCACAACAATCATTTTACGATTTTCCTCAAGTTTATGTGCTTACACTAAAACTAAAATAGTCATAAATCTGTAGTTATGGTCTAAGAAAATTTTATGTAGCTGAAATTCAACAAGATGTAACGAACGCAAAGAGTTTGAAAAAAAAAAGAAATAAAAACCATGACCCAGAAACTAAAAAGCTGGAATTCATAAACGAACTTTATATGAGCTGTAAGTTAAATTAATAATAAAAAAAAAAGTTTATTTCTCTATAAAGTGCTACTGCTATTATCTTTCATTCGAGTAAATAGTGCTGATGCCTTTTTTTATGTTGACGTTCCTTTAACAAACAATAATTAAATATATATTTACCCTTTACGAGACAAATACTATCGTTCTATCAGTTTTGTAAAAGCGATTTTGTTACACATTATATACTATTTTTCAACCAAATAGTAAGAACATAAATCAAAAAAAGAAAAAAAAATTGGAAAGAGAATTTTGATGACAGATTCTCCCCTTTATTTTTTTTAGAAAGAATAGAAAATAGTATATTGTGCATCTAGGGAGGAAAATGGTTGATTTCCACGAGTGTACAAACGTGGTAGTGTGGATACTATTGATGATGGTATGGTTGTTACTGGTAGCAGTATAGATACTACTGGTGGTGTACCAGACGTTTAAGATTCACTTTTGCTCATACTTTGATTAATATTTAATACCTAATAAAAACATCACCGGGAGGGAAAGTTACTTTTCCTCCCGCTCAGTGACGTCATCGGGAGGTAATGTAACTTTCCCTCCCGCTAGTCGGAAAAGACATACTTTTCTCACTCTACACAGGTAAGAAATGGTGTACTTTTGGTGCGTGTGTTAGAAAAAGTATATTTCAGCCAGACATAAAATTTTAAATCATTTTTTCGTAAAGTAATAGTAAAATATACAGTTTTAGTAAGACACAGCCAGCTGTTATTCTTCAATAATTTTTTTTTTTTATTAATCTAATATTTTATTAAATATCATTTATTATTTTATAAATAATTATTAAATTAAATCTCGAAAAATCAAAATTTGTAAAAATATGTTTTTGTAAAAAAAAAAAAATAATTAAAAAAAATATTTATCCGAATTTAAAAGATCATAAATGAATTTTACTTAAAATCGTTCATATGTTGAATTAGAATATTTAAAGGAAAATATAAAAGAATTTTTTTATATTACCTTTAACATTGTAAGTTACAAATCTTGTAATATAAGCTAATCGATTGGTTGCGGTTTCACGGCTAACCTGTAACGATAGTACGTTAACGACAATCATTAATCATAAGCCTATCCCCTTCGACCTGATAATCGAGTAATAACACGTTACCATTAAACAGCACGCACACTTTTACGATTAGTTTAGTACGTTTTTAACGTAACAAAAAAAAAAAAAAAAGAAAAAATGTATAATGTTTTAAAGAATGCGAATCGTTTTTGTATCGCTAGCCAATTTATCAACTACCCACTAAAAGAGAAGTCTTGATTTCAGTCTATTTTTGAGGCTGAATTTAAGGTGTAATCTGTTAAAGAATTTGATTTTACATAAATAAAGAATTCAATTATCTTATTCAATTCACTATAAATCCATATCCAGACAGTTTTGCAAAACATTTTTATAAAATTTATATTTTTAAATGTGAAATATAAACGAATCTTTTATTAAATACTTTTAATATATATATTTACTTTCATAAAAATAGATTTCCTGTTGATTGAAATTAGATGATATACATATATATATTTTACTTAAAAATTGTATTTTTATTTTCAATTAAGATTATGAGAAAAGTTGGTGGTAATTGAAGGTGATTAAAATTTCCTTCAATTAATAGTTTTATTTTTAATATATCAGTTTGATATTAATAAAAATAGTAATAATCATTTATTCAAAATATACTGTGTCCTCTTCATAAAATTGATACTAAAAATTTTAATTAAAATTCTAATAATTCTGACATTTCTTTTCGATAATTCTAATTTTCAATTATAAATTTTATTTTATTTATTTAAATTTTTAATTACTTTCATGTAGTGTCAAGATTTTTTCCGATGTAAACAATTATTTTATATAAAGAATTGGAAAATTGGTTTTTTAAACGCCACTTTATAAATAGATTAAAGATTCGCGTAAAAAACAAAAGATAAATTAAAAAATCTTTTTTCAGTAAAAAACTTGTTCCATTTAGAGAGAAATAAATTTCAATTTTAGAAAAAAAAAAATGTAAATCCAAAAAAAAGAATTTCAATCAAAGCTAAATGATTAAAAATTATCTTTTAATCAGAATGTTCTTAAATAAAGAGAAAAAAATCGTCTTTTTTTAAGATGAATATTCATAAATTGAAAATAAAATGTAAAATTAATTTTTGAACTGAATATTCTTTTCATTTAAATTTTATTTTTTACAGAGAATTGTATACAATTCTCTCTAATAATTTTAATTGGTACAATTTACATATTATTAAATGTTGATTTCAATATACATAATAATTTTAATTACATTCAATTTAAATTGAAAAAATGTTTAATAATTAATAATATTTTGTTAAATTTTTCCTTCTACGTTTATAGTATTATTTTAATTAATATTGCCGTAAACAACGTTAATTATTGCTAAACAATTTATCAATAATTAACAAGAAATCAATAGTTTTGAACATGTAACAACGTATAGCATATGTAGTTATATAACTTGTGACTAAATATACTAAAGTTTCACAACCTGTTATATATATATATATATATATATATATATATATATATATATATATAATGTCAAAATCAGGAGGGAAAATCATGTGGTTAAAAGTTACATTATTATCAACAGTATTGGGAGTGAAAACGACGCGCGCTTGTAAGCCGATCGCTTCTGTCCCTATCCCGCCCTCTAAACTCGCACTTTAGATAATTCTATGCGTATATAGCTTTACTGGTTCCCTAATTTTCGATATAGCCAACGAACCCTGTATTCTCGATAATATTAATTATGCATTCTCGATGGTATCAAGTAATTATGTTCTAATCATTAATTGCACTTGCCTGACAGGCAAGGATCATCATGAAATATGGAAACAGTTGTGGGGTTAAATCAGTGTGTAAACTGGGGACCCGCTTTCAAATACCGTGTCCTTAGCAAGTGCAACCACCATGGATTTCCAATGATTATTAATTAATATACTCGCTGGATAGGCCAACTTTAATGATACGTAGTTTACATGAGCGAGGACGTAGTATTTAATGATGAACATAGCCGCATATATATATATATATATATATATATATATATATATATATATATATATATATATAAATTGATTCACGCATATATATGTATAGACTGTTCTATGCTATCTTCAATTAAATTCTGACTGATTTATTGACAGATGACAATTACCAAAAGTCTATCAAGTGAAACACAATTTTTCTAAAAATGTTTGTATTTTTGATTAATTAATTTTTATTCTCTTTTTCAATTTTTGTTTTAAAACAATTAATTTATTCGATTAAAATAGAGAAAACGTTACCCATTGTTCTTTACGCTAGAAGTTTGATAGCGACGCAATTTTTAGTCGCCTTTTATGCAGGTTTATAGTGAATCGCTGACATTTTACGCATGGTAAAACCATTTCATGCAGTAAAACTGCTCATGTGGTAAAACCACTTATATATCCTTCTGGGCTTGTAGTAAAACTACTTTGAGGTAAGACCTCTTGCGCGTGGTAAAACCACTTCGAACTGTGTGTCCTGCTGCGGTAAGACCGCTTCGATAAGTGACGATTACTACCGGGTGCTCGACTTATAAACACAATCGGTTTGTTGGAACGCATGCGCGGGATTTCAGTGGGGATCGCTACTGCAACGCGCGTGTTGTGAATGAATACTACATACGTATTTGCTTCGTCGGTATAACGTAATTATCGACCTCTGATAAATTTACAAAATAAATATTTATGATGATTTTCAAACTTTCGTCACAAAACAATACATTATTTTAATATAAAAAAATATTAACAAAATATGAGAGAGTGTTTTATTTATTTTTTTATTTTAAGTTTTAATTTAAGTATAATAGATCATTTTTCTCAGTGTAGGTAATATTTTTAATATTTTCATTCATTGTCTATAAAATAGAAATAATGATGTTTGATTCATTATATTTTACCATTAAAAATACTAACTTTTCTTTTAAATAAGCATATTTATTTTTCTCCCCACGTTTTTAAGCTGGATTAATTCCTTTGATCTTCGACTTTTAATCAATTTCAATTTTCTATGATAATAAAAGAAATTCAAGTTGTGACGCTGGAAATTATTTTTATCAATTTTACAATTCGCAAATTTTTATTTCAATGTTTTTAAAATAAAATAATGTTAATTTGTTAATAATTTTGACAGGTTTTCTAAAATTTTATTAATTTTTTTAAGTAACAGTTGTTATTAATTAATTTTTTAAAAAAATATTATCAACGAATAAACAAATATTAAAAGAAAAAAAAAAAAGAAAACTTGTCTTTTACAATCTAATCGCAGTTTTCCGATCTAAAAATATTAACATTGCGACGATCACGTGAACCTAACAGTAACATACTTGTTAAACATAATTGTCAATCAGTCTCTTTTTCATTGTCAATATGTGTACTTTAGATCAAAGCACAAAAAAATGGTTAGAAGAAACTTTAATTCCAAAATTGAAAATTTTTTATTTTAAATCCAAATGTGAAGTGAAATACAAAATTTCAATTCCCAAAGATTCTTATTTTATATCAATGCTCTTTTTTCTTGATTTACAATTTTTTGATAATCAGAAAAAATGTGAAAGCACGGTTAGTTGAAAGAAAAAATTTTCAAATGAATTAATTCATTTTTTAAAAATTATCACTATTTTTAAAATAAAATTCAATACTTTTTTTTTAGATTCACTTAGTTGTAAAACGTCCATCAAGTGATAAACACATTTCGGAATATGTCAATTTTGAATATCTGTGTCACAATGAAATTCTTTTTTACACAAATTATTCGAAACTATACAGTTGTTGTCCAGAATTTGTCATATTAGAGCCACGAGAGGAATTGTCAATTATTATAGAAAATTTAAGTTATAAAGGTTATCATTTAAATTCTGATAAAGTTAATGTGAGCAATAAATTTATGTTATCAGCTGTTTGTGAACTAGCAAAATTTCATGCTACTGGTTATGTTTTAAAACAGAAAGAGCCAATGAAATTTTTTCAAATTATCAAAGAAATCAAAAATTTTGATCAATTGTATTCAAAAATGTATATGAATCTTATAAATTGCACAATAACAAGAGTATTTCAATATCTTCGAATTAAAAAATATGACAGACATTTTTGTGACAAACTTGAAATTTATTTGAAAAATCCAAGTTCAGTGATGATTGAATTGAGTAAAGGAGTCGAACCATTGGCAACATTGTGTCATGGTGATTTTACAATAAACAATATTCTTTATAAGGAGGAAAACGATAATATAATTATTAAATTCATTGATTTTTCCATGATTAATTATTGTTCGCCATTTATTGATTTTGCCGTTTTTTTATTATTAAATGGAACTCGAGAGCAAAGAAGGGAAAAATTTAACGAAATTTTCAATGCCTATTGTGATACATTATTAAAATATTTAAAAGAATATGGAATTTCGAATTTAGAAATATTTTCAAAAGAACGACTATTAAATGATTATAAACGTCATGCAATAATTGGTTTTATTATTGCTTGTTATTTTCGTCCATGTTTAATGGGATGTTTTGAAAGTAATAGTCAACATTTAGAAGAAGTAACCAACGAAGAAAAATGTAAACTTTTTACTTTAGTTGGAGGAGATGAAGTAACTAAAATGTTAGTTGAAATGTTGTTTGATTTAAAAGAAATTGGCTGTTTAGATCATATATTGTAAATAATTCAATTTATCAATAAATTGTATTCAATAATTAATTAGTTTCGTTACATTATAATTGATGATTATAACTTTTGTTACCTAATTATCATTATTCATAATAATTAAACTTTACATTTAACTTTTTGTCTTTATTTACACTAGCGTTGTATTCCTCGCTCGCTCGATTATAGTTCTACTTATTGTTGTTTACTTATTGTAGTTTATGTATATTATATATATAATTCATGTTTTAAATTAATATATTATTAATATTGTATAAAATTTATCTTAATTTTGATCAGTATCATTGAAGGATGAAATGACAATTGTTAAATATTAAATGTTTTAATTTATTATAATTATAACAACAATATTAATTATATTATATTATAATATATTTTTTTTATCTTATATTATATTAAATTGCTGTAAATTGCCCCACAGACACATGGAGATTTTGCAAACTTTTTAGAAAAATGTTCATAATAAATCGAAAAACCTTTTAAAATATTGGTTTTTATTTTTATTATCCAGAGTAAACCTTTATAAAGAGATTTTAAAGGTATATATCCAAAAATTCGTAAAAAAAATTGGATAAAATTGCAAAATAACCCTTTTTCGGGTTAAAATTGAAAAAACATGTTACAAAAAAAATATGTAAGATTTTCTAAAAGCATATGGCAAAGTATTTTGATTTATTTGAAAATAAGTGAAAATAGATTTTCCAAGGAGGGTGTCGAGGTCACGGTGTCAATGTCGCTTTTGGAAATTTGTTAACTTAATATAATAGAAGATGTTTTGTTTTAAAATAAGAAATATCAAAATTATTAAGTTAAAAACAATTGATTTCAATGGCACTTAAAATTAGGCACAATATTATAGGTTCCTAATTAAAAATTTAAAAACAACAATAAATAATAAAAATAAAATCGGACAAGTGCGAGTTACACTCGGACTGAAATCGAGGATTCCGTACTCGAAGCGAACTTATTTGGTATAAAAACAAATGTTTGAAAAAACCTCAAAAAACCAAAATGGCGGACACTTTTTTGGAAAATTTATCGGATTCGCTTGAAACTCGCTACTCGGGGGTTTTTGGGGTCGCTGATTACGAATTTGAAGTCAGTTTTCAAAAATTCAAAATGGCGGATCCAATATGGCGGACATTTTTTTGAAAAATTTGCCGGATTTGCTTGAAACTCGCTACTCGGGGGTTTTTGGGGTCTCTGATTACGAATTTGAAGTCAGTTTTCAAAAATTCAAAATGGCGGATCCATTATGGCAGGATTTTTTGTCAACTTTATTAGATTCGCTTGAAACTCGTTACATGAGGGTTTTTGAAGTCGCTGATTACGAATTTGAAGTCCAATTTACAAAATTTAAAATGGCGAATCCAATAAAGATGTTCTTTTGAGAAATCAAAAACTTGAGTGTTTTAATTCACCCGTATTTACTTTGTATCTTGCGTGTGCCTGCGTCCAGGGCACCTCCACGTGGTGTACATTGGGTAACGCAAATGCCGACGGTACATTATATAGTAAAATAGACGTGATAACATAAACATTGAAACTAAAGATATTACGCGCGTTTAATAGCACAAATTGTAGGTTTTTTTAGATTATGTCCGAATCCTGATATGATAAATTTAAACTGACTTCAAATTCGTAATCAGCGCCCCCAAAAACCCCCGAGTAGCAAGTTTCAAGCAAATCCGGCAAATTTTTCAAACAAATATCCGCCATATTGGATCCGCCATTTTGAATTTTTGAAAACTGACTTCAAATTCGTAATCAGAGACCCCAAAAACCCCCGAGTAGCGAGTTTCAAGCAAATCCGGCAAATTTTTCAAAAAAATGTCCGCCATATTGGATCCGCCATTTTGAATTTTTGAAAACTGACTTTAAATTCGTAATCAGCGACCCCAAAAACCCCCGAGTAGCGAGTTTCAAGCGAATCCGATAAATTTTCCAAAAAAGTGTCCGCCATTTTGGTTTTTTGAGGTTTTTTCAAAAACCTGATGTGATGGGGTTGAATGGGCCTCGGATTCGGATTCAGCGACCCAAAAGACATAGAAAATATATAGTCAGACCCCCAGATCAGAACTTTTTTTTTTTTTTGTGTGGCTGTGTTATTATATGTATACTAATTTTCTTATCATTGAGGTAAATGAGGTTCATTTGAGGTAAATTTAATAAATTAATGAAATTTAAAAAATCAATAATTCGCATTTTGGCTATAAAATTTTGTGTTTTAATTGAATTTAAATCATTTAAATTACCTAAATGAGATAAATAAAATTATTGCTTCCTCCGCGAGGAAGCCAAATTTTTATGAAATGAACATAAAGAAACACTTTATGTGTTTCCACTTTTACCACTTCTTATCATGTTTATTAAGTTATTTCTATAATCTACACATAAAAATACGTAAAAATAATAAATTTGAAGTCCTTTAGATAAAATTTTTTTCATCATTTGAAAAAATAACCCTTTTTTAGGATGAAAATGCAAAATAACCCTTTTTCGGGTTAAAAATTGAAAAAAATTGTTTATAAGTAACTTTTTAAAAATAGATTAATTTTTAAAGGTATATATCCAAAAATACGAAAAAAATTGCATAAAATTGCAAAATAACCCTTTTTGGGGATGAAAATGCAAAAAAACCTTTTTTCGGGTTAAAATTGAAAAAACATGCTACAAAAAAAGTATGTACGATTTTCTAAAGCATATGGCAAAATATTTTGATTTATTTGAAAATAAGTGAAAATAGATTTTCCAAGGACGGTGTGGAGGTCACGGTGTCTTTGTCGCTTTTGGAAATTTGCTAAATTAATATAATAGAAGATTTCTTATTATCTTTTTCCATGAAAAATAAAATGTAAATTTTAAATTTGAAAATATTTTTTAATTCAAAGAATTGAATTAATTTTTTTTTACCATCAGAAAAAAAGTTATATTTTATCTTTTACGCGAGTGTAAATTAAAAGAAAAGAGAGGGGCAGCGATAATGGAGACGAAACAATTCGATAACATAGTTTCATTGCAATGAGACCAGTAAGTGGATACATGAACTAATAATTTATTTTGAAAGATAATTTAATGTAAACAATTATGAGTGACAGTGAAAAAAATTTAGAAATATGGTTGGAAGAAAACTTAATTCCAAAATTAAAGGCTTGTTTAAATAAAGTAAAATCCAAAGTGCAATATGTAATTTCATTGCCCACCGATTCAATTTTTATGGCTCGAGTATTTCTTCTCGATATGAAATTTTTTAATAACCAAGGGAAAATTGAAGATCAAGTAAGTTATTGTTACAAATTTTACATTAATTTAATATAAAATTTTCCATAAGAAAATATTCGATATATTTGTAAAATAATTATACATTTTTTATTATCTTTATTTGAAAAAGATAAAGAAAATTTTTTTTTACAAAACTTGTAATTATTACCTAATTGACAAACAAAGACACATTCTGAAGTTAACCTTATCTTATCACCATGACATTCAAAGAAAAAGTCATTAAACATGTATACATTGTAATTATTTAACTTTAACTTTTATTTGTTACTATTTTTTTGAAGTATAATTATCATTATTTTGTTTTTTTTTCAAAATTATTGAATATTTCCTTTTTGTAAAAAAATTTAAAATTTGTTTTTTATTTTAAAATTGATTAAATTGAATAATATATGAAAAAATAATTTAAAAAATAAACACAACTAAAATTAAATGTTTATTTTTAATTAAATATTAATATTAATATAATTAAATAAAATTGCTTATAATATTCAAAATCATAGGAATTTTTAATATTTTTACAATCATCTTCATTTCTTTATAAAATTGAGTATAAAAATTGGAAATTTTTTAAAAATAGAAGTAAAATTATCTTAGAAATGAGTATAAAAATTAAAAATACAAAAATTAAATAAAAATAAATTGAAAGAAAAGAAATTTCTTTAAATATAAAACTTTAATTAATTATCAATTTTTTAGGTGCATCTAGTGGTAAAACGACCTCCAATAGGAAATAAAGGTCGCAGTCTATTCAATCTTGACGCAGCGTTTCATAATGAAATTCTCTTTTACACGAAATTTGCAAAATTTAATAACGATTATCCAAAATTTTATTATGCACATGAAAAACCCATTTATGATTCTGTAATTGTCACACAAAACATTAATTATCAAGGTTATTATTTAAATTCTGAAAAAACAAATTTAGACATAAAATATATTTTATCATCAATGCGTGAAATCGCAAAATTTCATGCAAACGCTTATATAATGAAAGACAAGAATCCTGAGGAATTTTTCGAAATAGTAAAAAATATACAATTATGCCGAAAACCACCGGAAAATAATCCATCAGTTAAAAAATCCCAAGCTTCAGTTCCAAGAATAATAAATTATCTTAAAAAAAATAATTACAATGAAAATTTTTGTAAAAAATTGGAAAAATTTTTATTCAATGGATTTGCATACACACAAACGGAACTTGTCCAACCAATTGAACCATTGGCGACATTATGTCATGGTGATTTTTTACGAAATAATGTATTTTTCAAGAAAATTAAGGAGAATAATTGTGATGTTATTGAAACAAAATTAATTGATTTTGGAATGATAAATTATGGTTCACCGTGTAATGATATTGCACATTTTTTATATTTAAGTGGAACACGATGTCACAGAAGAGAAAAGTTTCAACAAGTTTTCGATGAATATCACAAAAGTTTATTGGAAAATTTAAAATATGCCGAATTAAAGAATCTTGAGAGATTTTCTAAGGAAGCATTTCTTGAAGATTATAAAACACATGCTTTTTTTGGCTATTCAATAGCTATTATTTTTTTGCCCGTGATGCTGGGACTTTTTGAACACACTCCAGGGGAATTATTATCTCTTCCTGTTGATGAATTTGCTCAATTGTTAGCGGTCGTTGGAGGTGATGAATATACGGAAATTTTAGTGCAAATGATATTGGATTTAAAAGATGCCGGAAGTTTGGATGTCATAAACAGTATTGCAATTGATTAATTTTTTTATATTAGGTATATATTTTATCCGTTTTTTTAAGGGGTTATATACAGTCACGATTTTCAAAAAATCGATTTTTTTTGCTGCATTTTCTTAAAGTATATATATTTGTCTGTTGTGAAAAAATTTTTTATTAAGATTCGAGAAATATTTTCGAAGTTACAGACTAAACTAGAAAGGCGTGCCGTATACATATAATATATATATATATATATATATATATATATAATTTTCGTATACTTGAGTATGCAATTGGAATGGAAGATACATTATATGGTCCAGGAATAGACGATTCAATGTAAGTATGAAAAAAAATTTTAACTCAATGTAAACTGTTTGTGAAACTTAAAATCGCTTTTTCTCAAAGCTATGTTTTTCAAATCGGTGAACACGATCTCTCGAAAACCACTGAACCGATTTAGCTCTAATTTTCACACAAGCTAAATAACTACTTTTTGCTGTCCATAATCGAAGATCTTTTAAATAAAATTAAAATTATAATTTTAATCAACACTTGAAGTTGATTTTTTTTCCCTGAAAATGAATCACTTTTTTCTAGAAGCTGCCATTTTGTCAAAAAGTGATATTTTTTTAATTCCTTCGATTAAGGACTACATTTTTTAATACAATAACAGAATCTTTTTGACTTTTTGATTTCAGATGATTCTGTCAATTGCTCACCGCGGACCACTTTTTTTTCGAGGACCTTTGGGAGATTGGATATAGAGGCCAAAAAGAATAATATTTTTACAAATTAAATATATTTGTTTAAACTTAAAAACATGTAAAACAATATAGAAAAACTTCCGGTTTAATAAATAAATATTCCTTTGAAAAAAAAAAAAATACCGAAAAACTGCATTTTTTTGACCGCCTGACTGTATATAACCCCTTAAAATTATTTTTGTAATTGAAAATTTGGGCAAAAGAGTTTTTATTTATTTATTTTTAAATAAAAAGTTAATTTATAAGACGAGGCGATAATGCTAATAAAAAAAATAACAACAATAAAAGGATATTAATATCAATTACATGAATGTATTGTTATAAAAATAATTAATAAATGTTTTTAAAATTATTTACTTGATAATAATTTATGCTAAATTCTTAATTTATTTAAAAGTCATACTAAGATAACTGTTAATAATTCTCAGTAATTCAAATTTAGAGAGTAAATCAAAACTTAAAAGTTATTGAATTGAAAATATAAGAAAACATATATTTCTATTATTATTATTTTTTTCGACACTGTCAAGAAGAACATTCAAACTAGATATATCTTGAATGATTTAAAAGACAAAAGGTTCAGTTCAATATAAATTTTCTTATCTCTCTCTCTATATATATATAGTGTTCCCTTTTTTCCCCGAGAGCCTCTTTGAATCGAAACGATATGAATCAAACGATATTTTATGCTTTCTTGTACATTCGAGCTATATAGTTATTTTAAAAACAGTAGAGCATTGAATTGATTTTTCCGGAGTGTTCCAGACATGCTTTATCTGCTTTCTTTGTCAGAGGTGACGAGCATAAAACCCGAATGCGTTTTTCATTGTATTCTGTTTCTATCGTTTCTGAGCAAGCGACCAAAAAAAAAAAGAAAATAAAAAGAAAGACACAAGAGAATAGAAAAATAGAACAGAGTGTGTGTAATATAATAACCGAGAGCAGGTGTACATATACACAGTTGCTTTATAAAAATTTCACTAAAAAAAACAACATACACATACACACACGAGAAATATTATATCGTTGCTAAAATTTAGGGTGCTTTTAGAAAGTGGCTGTTCCACTGAAAAAAGATGGATATGTAAATCCAGCACTTTTGCAAAAAAAAAGAGAGATGAATACATGCTTTTATCGTGTAAAATGTTTCACGATCATGCGCTTTTGATAAAGATAAATGTACTAAGCGAAATCGTGTAAAAATGATTTCAATACTTCAACAAAACTGTAATTATTAAAAATATTTTTAAAAAAAATTAATTTAAAAAATAGTATTTAAAATTTTATAAAAAATATTAAAAATTCATAAGAATGATCATACTTAGAGAATTTTTAGCATCACAAAATGATGTAGAATTTTTAAAATTAAAAAATATATTTTTTTAATCAAAATCAGAATTTTCTATTTTGTAAAAAAAAAAGAATTTCAAAGAAAAGTTTATATCAATCTAAAAATGGAAATTCATTGATAAACAAATGAAAATGCTTAAAGCAAATTAAATAATAATGAACTCTCTAAATTTGAATTACTAATTAACATTAGTAAGAATTTTTACTAATTTTTAGTAAAATATTTAGTAGTTTTAAGTTATTTTAGTAGTTTTAAATTTTTTTACTAAAGTTTTTGTAAAAAGTGACTAAAAATTAGTGAAAATTATTACTAATTTAAAATAGTAATTCACTTTTCACTAATTCAGATTTAGGGAAAAAAGAGTAGATAGCATTAGAAATTAAAGGATGAATAAAAAGAAATAATAATAACGAAAACTAACAAGATAAAGATGGATAAGCCTGTAGAAATGAACTCCGTGTCATCGTACAAAGGGTTAACGACAGAGTACAATCATGTCAACAGGAAAACCGATGGTTTAAAAATCAAGCCTGGTTGTTAATTCTGGTTACACTGTCCCTCATCGTCTCTCTTGTGTGTACCACTCTCCATTCTGGCCACGATCTCTTCCCCCGAAAACCGCACCTAGTTCACCACTGTCGACCACCAAACGCCATTCGCGACATCCACTCTACATCGTTTGTGATGGACGAGGGAAATATCGACAAGCATAGTCCATTAAAAATGGTTTGTTTGCACTTCAACAATGTGTACCACAAAAAAAAATGCTTGTTATCCCTCTTGACATTTTCAAAAAAAAAAAAAAAAACTCTGAATATCTTGAAAAATTACCCCCTTCGCGTGTCAATGTAGCGCAAAAAAACATTTCCCACTTTTACGCACACTCAATAGTCAATGATTCTTGACTCTTTTTGTTTAAAAAAAAAAACAAATCTCGTTATGTTGTATTAGTAAGCAATTGAATTAAAGTATATATAGTTTCAATTTTCCCTGTACATTGTTTTGGTCAAACAATATACTTGGGCGTAAAATAATGATTATACAATGAAATTGCACCCAAAGGGTATATATATATATATATATATATATATATATTGTTACAAGAAACGATGCAGTTTGTATTGGAGAGATATTGTACATACTCGAAAGCGAGCGTGGCATTAACGTTAATCCGAAAATCCAATCGGACCTCATAATCGAACAAATCGATAGTTACGTCGGCCGCACGAGCATCAGCAATATCAGTTGCTTCTGGCTACAGTTACATTTCTCGTTTGTTAATTTGTCTGCGACATTATTGAAGTCTAATTTAATTGAGTCTTGGTATTAAAATGTAAATAAACCACTTTCACTTACATTTTAATATATTTAATATTCTTTATTAATTTCTTGACTGTGGTTTTTTTGGGGTTACTAACTACAAATATGAAGTCAGTTTCAGTTGAAACTCGTTGCACGAGGGTTTTAAAGGTCGCTGAATTCGAATCTGATGTTAGTTTTTCAAAATTCAAAATGGCGGTCAAAATTTTAAAAGGTTATTAATTTTTTATAAAACTTGCTATCTAGGGTTTTTTGGGGTCGCTGATGTCGAATCTGATGTCAAATTTTCAAAATTCAAAATGGAGGATGTAAAATAAAAAATTAATAATCTTTCAAAAATTTGATCGCCATATTGGATCCACCATTAGTATTAAATGTTTATCTATATATAGTCAGACTTTCAACTATAGAATTTAGTTATCTACTTTGTTATTAATAGTAGAGTTTCCACTTAGAATTAAAACAAAAATACAAATTAAATGTTTCTTTAAAAGAAAAATATTTGTAAAGTTTTAATTGAATTTTTCGAGTTTTTAAAATTGAAAATTTCCTCATCCAATGTTAATTCTTTTTGCATGCAAAATGAAATTTAAAACTTTTTTTTGAAAAGACGTTGAGAAAAAGAGAAGTGAAAAAAGTAAGAATAAGTGAATTTGGCGAGCTTTTTTTTTATGAAAACGTCAAGTAGCTGATATATTGGTTCCTATGAATAACAAATGAACAATCTTCATATTTGCTTTGGCTCTTACCACGTCCGTGACTTACTCTCCCCCCCCTCTCTCTCTCTCTCCAAAGTTTTCTTCCCCCTCCCTTTCTTTAGTGAACCTGCGAAAACTTTTAACTGGATACATTACCTGTCTGACTACCTCACTCTCCCTATCTTCTTTATAGCCGTAGAAGCTTTTAAACTCGTTCAAGGCTCAAGGTAGCTACGGTTATTAGAAATTTCTCGGGACATGCTGAGAGATGAATATATAGACTTTCCGTCTCTCTTCCTCGGCTTGAATTAAACATCCAGTCTTTACGAAAATCTACCACAATCTTAAATTTTTAAGTATAACATTCGCGTGTTCTATATGTATACATAGAGAGAGACAATATCTTTTTTCAATAATTTGGATACCAAAAAAAAAGTATTTTTTCAGTTAAAATTTTCAATTTAGAATTAGAAATTCAACAAATACCACATTCGTTAAATTTAGAATTTAATTTTTAAAAATTTTACTGCTTTTTTCTTTCTCTTTTGAAAAAATCTCTCTTTTGTCCATAGTTTATCTTATACTTAAAAATATTATCACTGTACAAAAATAGAAGAGATGATACGCTTTTCTAAATTAAACCCCTCTATTTTGTTCTAAATAAAAAAAAAATGGATAAAAAAAATTTATAAATCCAAACCACGTTATTTGCCGCATTAAATTAAAGCTGAATACACGCGTTACTCTTGAGCATTAAATATTTACAAGAACGATATTTATACCTCACGATATCCAGTTTACTCTCGGGATCTCATATACCGAGAATGGGATGGACAATGAATAGTTAAGCTCTCATTAGTAACAGTATCAGTATTTGTGCGTATCCATGTAGTTAAGGGTTGCAGGTGTGCTTCATTGAGGATTCCATAGCACCAAAGTGTCTGTCAGTGTTTCAGCAAAATACAGGTGTAATGATCCTCTACCAAGTTCTATTCACAAAGGTAAGGACGCTCATATTACATTTGTAATAGAGAATCAGTTCCATATACTAACGTTAACATAGAAAAAACCTAAGCTCAAAATGATCCTCATTTTTCAGTTTACACAAAAAAAGTTTAATGAAGCAAATTAAATTAAATGAAGCATATAAAGTTTCAAAGTGAAAATTAAAATTAATAGTTTCTTAACATTGTTTCATTTAGAACTAATAATACATTAACGACAGTGGTCTGATTTCCGAACAAATTCACTATTTCCAAAAGTATACCAAACGAGGCAGGAAACATTTATGACCTAATATATTATCCCATTTTTCTTTTCACGCTTTTAACAAAAGTAATATATTTTATTAACCCTAAGGTTGAAATCAAATTTAGATAAGATCAGATTTTATATGATTGGGGAGCATTGTTCCTTCTACACCAAACATGTGTTTTCTCTGAATTTGGAAAATAATATCTTTTAACCTTCGCTTGACAAGATGCCCACCCAGGGTGGGCCAGACAAATTGAAATTGCCATATCTTCTAAAGTTTTGCCTTAATTAAATCGCGATTTTAAGTCACTGAACAAAATCTTAAGAACTTTCAAAAAATGTAAAAACAAATTTTTAAAAAAAATTTCTTATTGATTATTTATAACTTTTATCAATGTATGTACGGAGATAACCGGGATGATTCAGATATTTTTTTAATTCTATTTTACAAAAAGACTTGAAATCATGCAGACTTTTCACTGTGAGTGTTTTATGATGTCAAATAATAGATATAAAAAATATTATATTGCATTTTTCATTTGTTTAAACAATTTATTGTTATTATTTATTAACTTTCGTTGTTCTGCACCTAGAAAGATGCAGTTTTTTTCTAATTTTGCAATTTATCAAGCGGAATATAATAAAAGATAGATTTGATGTAAAATTATTAATTCAACAATTGTTTAAACAATTATTGTTATTATTTACTAACTTTTTTGTAGTGCACCTAGAAAGATGCA